TATCGGTTTTATACTTTATATTAAAATCATATCCTCCTAATGTTATATTCCACTTCTGGAGTCTTAAGAACATAGTACTATTATCATTAAGACCCTTGGTAAAGATGTGAACAAGAGGTTTATGGTTAGTAATAATTGTAAATTTTGTGCCGATTAAGTATTCCTGGAACCTTTTTATAGCGAACATAATAGCGAGAGCCTCACGCTCAATATTGGTATAGTACATTTCGGATTTTAATAAAGTTCTCGACGCGAAAGCTATTGGGTTTTCTTTGCCATCTTTTTCAGTATGAAATAATTCAGCTCTTAAACCACATTTAGATGCGTCAGTGGCTATTCCTATAGATAATTCAGGGTTAAAATATGTCAAAGAAGGAGGATAACATAGGGGCCAGGGGGAGCAAGAGGAAATCCCCCCCCCATTCAGAAATTTATCACTTTTCGTGAATATCATTTTAAGCTAATAAAAAATAACCCCCTTAGTCCTCCCCCCACTCCGTGACCCCCAAAAATGTATGCATATAACTTAAAAAATAATTTGAAAGAAAGAATGTAAAAGTTAATATTTTTTTATAAAAATATTCATCATAAGTTATACATTTTTCGAAAAAAGCATTTATATATGAAAAAAAGTGAACCAAAAATGCTTTTTAAGAAATGGAATATAAGCAGAGTTGGGCAGGTCCTCCAGAAAAAGAATATAGATACAGATACAGATTCTTTATAAAAAATGAATCTTAGATACAGATACTAGTATCTTTTTCAAAATATCAAAAAGATACAAGATAAAAGATACTTGTATCTTTTACTAAATTAGAGTATCTTAAATACAAGATCCTTTTAAATTATAAATACCAATTAAATTAGATGAGTTTATAAAATACAGTTTTTATTATTTATTTGTGAAGAACATAGCAAACCAGTGGCGTAGCTACGGGGGTGGTTTTCGGGTTTGGACCCCTCCCAGAGCAAATTTTTTTTTTAGATTATACGTTCAAAAGACTTAAAAGTGATTTTATATCAATTATATTTTTTGGTTTTGATGTTTGTGGAAGGATATTATATTACTATTGAAATTATTCTGGATAGTATTATTATAAAGTCATTGAGAATAATCTACTAAATTATAATAACATATTATTGATGCATTTAAAAAATATATTTATAATATATTATCGAAGATATGATTATGATTTGTAAAATAAACCCGGCCGAAGGCCGGGCAAAAGGGCCGAAGGCCCGTTAAAGGGGTTTGGGGGGCGAAGCCCCCAGCTTTTATATGTATGGACCCCCTCTAAGGAAAATTCCTAGCTACGCCACTGTAGCAAACACATATAAGAATTATTTGCAATAATTAATAAAATATTTATAAATTAATTATAATAACCAGGGATTTTAATATTAGTTTTTACCTATTAATAGCTTAAACAGGGAAGGGAGAGTAGTATATTTAATGGGAGTTGAAAATTTGCAAATAAGAAAAAAAATAAAATCAAATGATTTATTAGAATTGCAGGTTATTTTCTGTGTTGTTTTAAATATAGCTTATATTCGGAGTATATGGCTAAATGGCATCTCTAAAAAAAATATACTAGTTTTATTTTATTCATAATCTTTAATAAGTATTTATCATTACTTATTTGTGATTTTTATGTATTATTTAAATTAGTTTATTTTCTAATATGACTTATTAATTCTTGCGTTTGTAATATCATATATATATATATATATATATCATGTAAATATCTTTTCAAATTTTTTTTATATATTTCTTGCAAAATCATTAATTATATATAAAAAATATCATAATATTGTACAACTTTATATTATAAATATTAAATACACAATTATTATTAAAAAAAAATATACATAAAAATGGATTTCGATTTATTTATAAAAATAAATGATTTTATATATAATTTTTTTAAAAATTTTATAACATTTTATTTTTGTTAAAGAAGCCATTTTATATCGGATCAAATTTTATAATATTGGCGGATAACCGATATTTTAAAATGGGTGAAACGGCCCGATCCGATCCGATAAAAAATCGGCGCATCCCTAATATATTTTATATATAATTATTTTAAGTTCTTATTAGAGAAAATATTTAAGCTACAATTGATATATAAAAATATTAGATAATTTTAAAAGGCTCTTAATAAAATAATTATAATAAGGTAGAATTTAACTTTATTAGTTATATTTTATTTATTTATAATATAAATAAAATTACATTACAGTATTTATTTACAAAATTTAATCAATTTAAAATGCATTAAAGAAAATTATTATGTTTAATAATTAATTAATAAATATTCTGCCATATTGTTATTTTTTTTGCGCATTCTGTTTATAAAGGTGTGCGAGATTCTCTTCAGAATCTGTTTTTAGTGAAGCTGGTGATATTGACAGTTATTATCGCCGCAAGCTGACCTCTGATAAATTGGAAATATTGGTATTTTTAAAAAGAAATCTTCGTTATATTAATGTTAAATATTTATTTCAAATTTCATAATATAATTGTTTATTACTTATTATGTATATAGATTAATGTTATTATTATTATATAAAAGTGATTTAATAATAAAAATATTTTATATACTTTTAGAATTGCAATTGAATTGAATATAAACTATAACTCATCATTATAATATATTTGAGTGACATAAGTTATGGTATAGTTAAATTATAGATGTTATACTAATAAAGTATATTAAAAATTAAAAGCATTGGTATCTTTAGAGAATACAAAATATAGATACGATATCGGATCGGTAATCGGCCGATATCAATTTAATATCGGGAATATCGGATCGGCCTCCAAAAAGTGGTATCGACACACCCCTAAAAAATATATATCCAAAATGATTTTAATTTGTAATCAACCATCTTCTATAAAATTTTTTAATAACAATTATCTAAGAGGGACTTAAGTATAGGTATTATTATGTTGATAATTATAAAATAAAAATATAATATACTTTAATATGTTTAACAAAGTTTGTAAAGGAGTTTGTTGAACCTTTAATAACTTTTTTACTTGTGCAATATTGACATTCAGCTTGTACCTTGTTCTTTTTCACATGAATTACTTTATTTTATGATTCGGATTTGATTCAGGAGAACCCATCTCCATAATTTCATCTTCACTACTATGATTGTTAAACATTTTACAAATTAAAAAATATTACATATAAAATATATCCTTCTCTTATTTAGTTTTGGTGTTGTTATTTTTAATCTATCTATCTTTATGACCTATAACATTTCCAACTAATTTTGGTTATCAATATTTTTAAAATATAGCGGGAAAAAATAAAGAAAATAATACAAGATTTCACGAAGAAAATAAAGTTACATTGTGTGATATGTAAATGTTTTAAACAAGAATATTAAAAAGAATCTGTATCTGTATCTTTTTAAAGAAAATGAAAAAGATACAAGATTCTTTTCAAAATAAAGGATCTTAGATACAGATACTAGTATCTTATTAAAAATGTCAATAAGATACTGAGTACAAGATACAAAAGGATCTTGTATCTTGTATCTTAGATACAAGTATTCGCGGTACTGCCCAACTCTGAATATAAGATAAGTCTTAAGACAAAAGTGAAATGTATTATAATTATTAATAATAGATCCATAAAATTTCTAAATAATATAATATATCAAATATAATTTTTTATAAAGTAAGTAATTTTAATTCCTTTATCTTAATAAAAGTAAAATAAAATTATAAAACTATTGATAAAATTAAATCATATAAATAAAAAAATTAAAGGACAATACAAACATTGGAATATTATATGTCGTATATTTACAGTATATCTAATTTTATAAATTATCATATGACAATCAAGTAATTTTTACCAATATAGCGAATTATATATTTTACAGAAAACTATAAAATATTGATAAGGACATCAGAAAATAACTTTTAAAGACATTGTGGAATCAATAATATGAAGATTAATTTTTAATATTTTATCTAAAATAAATAGATGACGTTAAATAATTGAATGCAAATTGTTGCTATATTTATTATCAAGAGCATTGATTAGTAAAATTTGTTAAAATATTAACTGTAATATATTCTCTAACTGTCAAATATGTCTGTGTAAGTGGAATTTTACCTAGTATTTTGTAACTAATTCTATATAATAGAGGAATATCAACTATATGCCTACTTACTTTTTCTAAATAAATTTCTTATACTTGTTTGGAATAAATTATTACCATGCTTTTATATTAATGTTTTACAAGTAATTTATTATATTTTATATAAACTAATAAAAAATATATTTCATATTTGTTCCAGGCTTATTTTCTTTATTAAAATTAACTTCCTATCTTGTAAAAATATCTTATGACTATATATAAACTAAAGTAACCCGGCTGAAGGCCCTCCCAAAAGGCGTCTGGGAGCGAAGCCCCCAGTAATTCCCCCCCCCCCCCCCATTTAAGAAAATTCTGGCTACGCCTATGAAGATTAATCAACTTCTTAAGTTCATTAAAACTTCTAGAGTGTTCTAAGTTCCAAGACCCATTTTTCATTGTTGACGATTTTATATAGAGGATCGGCTATTTCTGCAAAATTGTTCAAAATTTTTTTATACTTGCCAGCCATTCCCAGAAATGTTGATAATTCAGCAGCTGATTTTGGTTCTGGCATTTTAATTATTGCTTCAATTTTGTCATGATTAGCATGAATCCCCTTGGTGTCAATGTCATGACCAAGGAACCTCACTTTATTTTTAAAAAACATACTTTTGTTGAAGTTAGGTACTAGCCCAAACGATGATGTTCTATCAAACACTTTTTTTATGTTAATTAGGTGAGCTTCATCGTTTTTCCCAGTTATAAGTAAATCATCAATATAAAATATGACATCTTGTCACCGAAAATTTGGTCCATGATCTGTTGGAAAATTGCAGATGAGATCTTAAGCCCAAAAGGAAGTCTAGTAAATTGGTAATATCTCTTGTGCGTAGATATAGTTAAAATATTTTTGCAACTTTGACCTGTAAGAAAGAATTTTTAAAGTTAATCTTCGTAAATTTCTTTCCTTCTGAAAGTTTAGCTATTAGATCTATAATTCGGGGTAGTGGGTATCTGAAATCTTCTAGAGCTGGGTTTACGGTGTCCTTAAAATCAGCGCAAAGCCTAATGCCCCCATCATCTTTGTAGACGGCGGTAATAGGACTTGCCCATCGAACATCATTCACCGGCTCAATAATTTTATCATGCATCCATTTTTTAAGTTCGTTGCTCACAAGATCAATTTTTGAATAAGGAATACGTCTCGGTGATATAATTTTAGGTTGGGCATCTCTTTTTAAATGTAACTTGACACTTGCTTTGTTGATTGGCCCATTAGTCAATTTGGATTCGCACTCTTTAATCAATTTTTTTTATTACATCTTCGTAATTTGTGTCAATATTTGATAAATTTATTAAAAATATATTTGAAAGCGTTGATCCATGTACGTCCCAACAAGCTATTTTTCCTAGACTCAACGACCGCCGTTTGTAAATATTTTGAGATACCTTCATAAGTCACTTTAACTTGTGTAATGCCGATGATCTTAATTAAATTTGCGTCATAAGCGGCATGTAACTCGGATTTTTTAACATCTCTAATACCAAGTTTTAGCCAAACCATGAAGTATGATGGTATGTTTAAATCCTGTGTCTACTTGCATAGGTGTTATAATATCATTCACTTTTAAAGTAGTCTTAAATGCCTTATCTTTATCATTAAGCATGCCCCCAGATAAATTGTTTATGTTAAAATCGTTATCATCTTTGTTTTTTATAGAGTTGACTTTCTCTTCAACAATTTCTTCATTATTTATATTATGGTCATTGTTGTTGTATTGTATTTGCTTTCTCTGACTGTTGTCGCTACCTCTGTAATTATTTGAATTGTTATATTGTATTTGCTTTCTCTGACTGTAGTCGCTACCTCTATAATTATTTGAATTGTTACTATAGGATTGGTAATTATTATGTCCGTTACTATATTGGATCTGTTTTCTTTGATTATTATTATGCCATGTATCATTTCTACCATAATTAGATTGATTATTATTGTTGTAGCGATAGTTTTTATAGTTTAAGTTATTATAATTATCATGGTTTCTAGAATTATTATTACAGTAATTCCTATCATAGTATCTAAAATTATTATTGTCATAATTCCTATTAAAATTATTATCTATATTATCATAATTTTGTCTAAAATTATTTCTAAAATCATTATTAGGTCTAGAATAATTATTATTGTTATTTCTATTTCTAATGTTAAAGTTTTTATCTTTGTCAGACCTTTTATCGTGATTCATAAAACTTATATTATCAATATCTAGTTTATCATTAATGCTATCTAATCTAATTCCTATCTCCACCATTTCGTTTAATTTTAAATTAGTATTTTTACTAAATTTATATTTTATTTTATCATTTAAGGTAGACGTTCTTAATTTTTCTTTTATCCTACTATCATCTGAAAAATCACATTTTTTATTTAATTTAGATACTCTGATGTACCATTGCATAAAGGTTTCACTAGAACTTTGGTAAGATAAGTTAAATTTGTTGATTAAAATATTTTTATCCTGTATTGGTAAAAGGTATCCTAATTTCTTAATCACTATCTTAAGATCTAAAATCTCAGTATTTGAACAAATTTAATATTATCAAACACACCATCAGATAGATTATTAAGTAAAGTATTTAATTTAACGGAGTCCGATAATGTGCTGGTCGAAAGGTAACTTAACACCCTATCTAAGTAAATCTCAGTCAGTGGTCCAATAAGTTTTGGGAACTTGTAAGATCTAAAATCAGGTAATTTTATGTCCATTTATTAATAACTTTTATAAAATATCACATAAGTTATAATATGTCATGAACAAAAATGTTAATTGTTTTCTTTTTTTTAAAATAAAAATAGAAATTTTTATATTTTTGTAAATGTGCATTGCAGTTGTATAATTCAGATTCATTGTAAGCAAAGAATTTTCCGTCAAATGCCTCATAGCAACGTAGAATTTCTTTTAAACTAAAGAATTTAAAGGAGATCTCCATTGGCAGGTCCTCGAGTGTATTGGACATCACAATTATAAGTGAATCCCCATAATATATCATACACCGAGACCTCAGGTAGAACATTGGATATTTTAAAAGAAAACATCGAAAGTTGTATAATAAAATATTGTAGAAATTTTTACCTTTTATAGGAGAATTATGGGGGGAAAAAAATAACTTTTTTTATTTAATGTTTTTACATGTTAAATATTAAATCTCACCATTAAAAAAAAATGGAAGAGAAAAATTTAAAAAAATAAAATATAACACATAATGGCGAGTTTTTTTGCCACTTTACCCGGGATACCATGAAGAAAAGTAAAAATATTATTTTTTAATCTGTTTATTCATAAAATTTGCTTCTATATATATATATTTTCTACATCAAGATTTGAATACAAAAACAAAAAGTAATAAAATAAGTAACAAAAAGTAAAATTATAAAAGGTCAAATACGATTAAGTAACAAAAAGTAAAATTATAAAAGGTCAAATACGATTAAGTAACAAAAAGTAAAATTATAAAAGGTCAAATACGATTAAAATTTAAGACAAAATAAAATCATTATTCAACAAAAATTTAAGACAAAATAAAATCATTATTCAACAATGGTTTAGCCTTACAAAATGTAAATAAGATAAACGTTTATTCAATTTCTTTTTTTTTGTAAAGACAAACGCTATTATGTTACACCCATATTTATTACCACCTGGTAATTAGGGGGTATATGATTTGCCATTTGTGGTTCGAATGAACAGACAATAATCCTGCTGGGTTTTCGATGTTTTAATTGACTTAAAAAGTTTATGCACATACATCGAGGGATAATCTTTATATAAAGACAAGATTATTTGTGTTTATTTCTTATTTTTTTTCCTTTTTAAAAATTATAATTTTTATTTACAGAAATTAAATCAATAGAAATAGACTGGTTTTATTTCTGTACCTATTTATTTTAATTAATTATTTAATTAATAAATACTGATCATCTTATAAATCATTGTTTATTACACGAAATCAGTAAAGTAAAGTATAGAACGATGTGTGTGTCACCTCTATTTTAGGCCTTCCTATTTTTGGTGATTCTTCACCCTATTGACAATGGCTAGTGTTATTAAAAAGCCCGATTCGGGTCAATTTTTAAAAACGGCCCTATTAAAATTATAACCAGAATAATATTGTGTAAGCCTGGTAATTTTGCTCATAGATGGCAGATAGGTTTGGGCTTCTACTTGCCAAATCTTGAGGTTTACACAATTTTATTTTGAATAAAATCGTAAGAGCCGTTTTTAAAACCAACCCAAATCCTGCATTTTAACAACAACAATGGTCAAAGTTACTACTCCTAATCCTAGCTCAGAGTTAGCCTGCGAACCTAATTCTTAACAACCCTCGCGCCTTTTAAGTCTTTTACTAACCATGAACCTTGTACTTCATCAACGCTATCATTTACCAAAATTACCTTCTTTTTTTTAGCTAAGATTTTTAAAATTACCTTTTTTTTAAATATTACATTTGGTATTCAAATTTTTCAGAAGGCCCGAGGCCTTCCCCTTATCTAGTAACTCTACATACTAGGTTGTCATGAGTTTTGTAGCTTATCTTTGAGTGGCTATAAAAAATAGTATGAAAAATTTTCATTATTGAAATTTAATTTTGGTTAGTGTTTAAAAAAAGCTCGCACATATCGTTTAAATGATTTATTCGTGCTAAGAATTGGTATATATTTATTGTATAAAATAAAACGCTATTAATTTATTAAGATGCAGAAACTGTTAATATCATATTATATTGTTCATATAATCCATTTTATAATAAGATATAAAATGACATTACTTTTTTTACAATTATGTCATGCTAATTTATTTGTCAGGCCACAAGTGTTAGATTGACTCACAAGTCTGTCAAATTAGATAGATATGAAAACTGACAGTGCTTCTGCCCATTTCGGGTTTTAAAGTATAATAACTCTCATTATGAGGCGGTCAAAATTTGTATTTAAGCCTAATATTAATCCTAATAAAGCCGCTTCTGATCCAGTGCAAAAGGAAAATCAAATTTTAAATAACGATAAGACTCCTGATAAATCAGACGAATTTGATAAAACAAATCCAAATGTTAATCTCCTGAACGAAAATGATCAAATAGGGACTCAAGAAGATAAGACAGTGAATTTAGAAAGTAGCTTGATTGATCAATCATTAAAACTTCAAGACAAACATTTAAATACCTGCACAAATAATTTAATACAAAATACATTGGCCTCAAATGAATCAATATCTGATTTCCAAAAAACAGGTGATCTTGTTAACCAATGCAATCAAATAGAGATCCTAGAAAAGTATTACAAATTTTTTAAATGTCTAATTAATTTATATAGAGTTGATTCTTCTAAAGCCTCTGCTCCAATTAAAGAGGTACAAAACTCAACCAAAGCAAAAATTAAATCCAAAGTGAATTATTTTCATGTATTAAGGAAAAATATAAGATTATTAATAGGTGGATTATAATTCTCCATTGATAGAGGAAGATTATGTTGCAATAAATTTGACTATGAAAGACTTAGTATATTTGAATCCTAAATCCAACCCTATGAAGTAATAATATTTAATTATATCATCAAATCATTTTTATTATATTATACAATACTACTATCATAATAATATTAACCAATACAAAATTGATTGAATATAATATAAATCAATTTGCATATTTAATGAGTTTTTAATATATTTAATATTATGTGTTAGATATTTGGTTATAAAATAAAATTTATTTGTATATTAATATTCTAAGTTTCTTCTAAAAAATCAAAAATAATTATATTTTTATCCATAATTCAAGTGGCATTAAAAAATTTATCCTAGTCCTCTTTTAAAATCTATTTTATCCCTAGCCTTAGAAAAGATCTGCTCATGTGCTACTGATGTAGCCTGCTGTGTGAGATAGTTCATTGCTATTCTGGTCGGAATTAGAAATCTATATTGATTCTTTCCCTACCAATCTAATATTTAGGAATTAATTGGATATGAAATATCAGATAAATAGCTTTGGATTTCATTTATATCATCTTTCTCAGCTTCCTTAGATATCCCAGTCCCTATCAGCCCATCCCTGACTATTCTCTAATTTTTAATTAAAATAATTAGATATGCACTGATATTAAGGCTGATATGTATTTAGTTTAAGAGCTAAAGTCATAACAATTTATTATATTTTTTGTTTACAAAAAACAAGAATTTCAATATATAAAACTAATATTTTATGAAATTAAAATCAATCATTTATATAAAGATAATTTTATTTTTAAATATTTAACTAATATTTGTTTCCAATATTAAATTGTCATGTTATCAGCCTTGATACTAGGGTTACTGAAATGGAACCTGAGGGATTCGGATTTGAGAACTAGTTAAGGTTTTAACCATTTATGATGTCAAACTAATTTTGTCTATTAATATTTTACATACAAAAATTTAAGATTAGAATATTTGCATTATTTGTATTTGATCTATATCTTTGAATTGAATAATTATATTATTTGTATTGGTACTGATCGAATAATTATTTATATTTGTACAAATAATTAATTTGTCGAATATTCGATTCAAAAATTAAAATATTTTCAAAAATGAAAAAAAAAAAAGATTTATAGATTTGCAAAAAAAGGTAAAACAAAAATAAAAAATTCTGCAAGGAACATATTAAATACCTAAAAATAATTTCAAATTATGAATAATTTTGAATATTTTCGAATTATTTCTAATAATAGATAAAAAAAATTATTTGACAGATAATATATTTACCTTATTTGCAGGGAACTGAACCTGCTTTTCTTACATTTAAAAAATTACCCTACCCCCCCCCCCCACTTCAATCAATCCATTTTAATTTCTGACTGGTCCTAATCGCAACACATTATATTCACATTTTCATTTTTAGAAATATTAAATTTAAATTTGTAAATTCCTAAAAGTCAATCAAAAAAGTTTGCTAAAAACGGCCCTCCCAACAAAATTTGTTGGATTTGAATTATGATCACCATTACCCCTAACAATGGCTTTTATTTCCTCTCTGCTGATAAACAAAAATATCATTCTTAAATTAATTAACTAAACTTTTTAATAATGTCATGCTAAACTATGCCTAATTAAAAGTCGATCTGCTATCTTATCCATCAGCAAAATGCCTCCATTCTTATTTGCAAATGCAGTGTCACGCTCCGTCGATTATTTGTTTTCGAGCAATTGGCATTTAACAATATACTAACCTTCGTTCATTAGCAGATAAATCAACGTCATGTATGTTTAGAAGCTTACCCAATGTACAATAATTATCATTTGCCAAATAAAGAATTCAGATACTAGCAGGCAAGGCTTAGACATATAGCTATATAGAGCACGAAAATTTAATAAAATAATCCAAAGTTCATTATTCAAAGCCGATGTTCCTTCACATCTTAAACCTCGAAATACTTCAGTTGTAAGTAATTTCCGGCCTGATAGACACACTTTAACTCCGTGATATACCTGGGACGTTACATGCATACACATTTTTGCCCCCTCCAATAATAATTATAATCAGGGATATGAACCCTCCTTCTAAAAAATGGGTTCGGATTTGGGTTCAGTGAAAAATCTCTAAACCCGTTCGAGTTCTGGGTTCGGATACCAAAAAAATAATGACTTATTAAAATTAGTTAAAATAACAGAATTTATTTTATTAGTATTGCCCTAAAAATAATATCATCATTTATTCGTGATTTTGTACTTCTCTTTGTCTTACCATCAATTTAATAATCACAAACAACAATATCGTAAAATAGATATTATTATATATTATCATCATGTATAAAAAAACTTATAAATCTGATTTGCTGGCTAAAATTTAAAAATTTTTACAAAAATGGCCGATTCTTAAATGACTAAAATGATTCCATGAAAAAATGAATAAAACACGTTTTTTTAAATTAATATTTTTTTGAATAATAAAACAATTGTTTTAAATAGGAACTCTTTTATAAATGAATATCATAAATTACATGTTTTTTATATTTTTGACATATAATTTTAAATAAATAATATGAAAGTTTAAAATAAAAAAATAAATTTTTTAAAAAAAAATAAAGCTTGGACCCTGAACCCTAAATTTGGTTCGGGTTTGGTTTGGTTCGGCAAAATATCGAGGATTCAGGGTTTGAGTTCGGGTTCTTATCCCTGATTATAATTCATTAGGAATTGCGAAAAAAAAGAAAATCCCATAATTATTCGCATTTAGCTGAAAACAAAATATTGATATCCATATCCATCGGAGTTTCAACAAACTGTTCATTCGGAAAAGAAGCGAAATCCCTAAACAAACTCATCATTCAGATAAAAGAGCTCTAGAGCAACAATTTCGAGGGGCCTTTTTGATCATAAAAAATTGGGTTCGAAATGGTACCTTACAATTTTAAATAATTTTAAGTCTTGGGTATCGGTTAATATTGAAAGTATCAGCCGATACTCAAAATTAGACGAAGAGCCAATCAAGCGATGAATCTCTTAAATATTCATTTTATAAAATTTTTGAAAATATTCAAATTATAGGTGTATTGACATATATATTTTTTTAAATTAAAATTTTTATCTTTACTCTATTTAATCTTAAATTTATCTAAACTATAGTTATTACTCTTCCTATTTTTAAATATGCTGATTTACAAAATGGATGGTAAATATTTGTCAGTCACCCTCCCCCCCCCCCCCCACTTCCTTTTATAATTAAATTCTAAAGGTGTATTTGTATTATAGTTTAAATATATAATGCTAAATATATAATTATATTAAGAGAAAGCACGATACGCTTATAAAGTCGGGCGTCCAAAAATTTGAAATGTTTACTTGGATCTTAAGGGACCGACAATTCCGACTAATATTTTTATGGTTTTGGAATTATTTATTTGATTAAAATAGTGGGAATTTTTTTTTAACATAGCCCTTTATTGCGCACATCAGATTTAAATACACATACATCAAAAAAAGATATGATTAATAATATAATTTTTTTTACAGCTCAACTCTGCATTCATAGAATTTGCGGCGAAGTATACAATATTACATTTTTGTATAGGAAACCGGGGCACGTTGAGTGTAGGGGAACGATAATCCACTCTAGGCGATAAATTTATAAGATTGGAAATATAAGCTTAAGACCACCTTCTAACAACATTTTTTCAAAGCGAGAAAAAACAAATACACCTGAATAGATATGTCCTTCCAAACACAACGAATGCATACGATTTTGCGTTATTTTAAATATCAAACTACTTTAATATTTTTTAACGAATAAATGGCATTGAACAAATTCCTTTTATAAACTTATCTGGTGAATTGTATAGGCTATTTGAAAATAATTTTGGTCCTGTATGTAGTTTTGCCTATTATATTTTAATAAGTTAACATTAGCTTTGAAGTATCATGGTTTCATTTCTGGGAATATACTTTTTACACTAATTATTTATTAAAATATTTTTTGACGTAAAAAATCAGCTTTGTTTGTTTGGAAGTAAAAAATATAGATAATTACGTCATACATGATTAGCTAAAAAATATTTATTATTTTAGTTTTTACAGACGATTATGCCAATTAATCGATCTTTGAATGGTCAAATTTAATCATCGTTTTTATGACACTATTCATAAATAAATGCTTATTATTAAATTTGGGAATATTTTGATTCATTCTTGTTTTTTCACTTTCTCTGGTAGAGTTGTTTTCTTGTTCAATTGAATAACCATTTTCTTTTATACTTTTAATTAATCGTAAATTATGATAAGCACTAACTAATTTTCCCTTAGTCTTTTCAATTGATTTCGGTTTTATATATGAATATTACTTAAGACGGACTATTTTCTGTCTGAAAAATAAGTTGAATCATATTTCCCTCTAAGGGGTAAAATGGATGGATAGTGTAGCATTATGCTTACATCAAAGAACGATTTTTTAAAATCATTTCAATGAAAATTACTATATATTTGTAATGTTATTACGATTTTTATCAAATAATAAAATTATATACGCTCATATAATTTAAAGTTGAAAAAAATCTCACATTGCCGCCAACATATATAAATAATAATTATAATGTTTGTTCAAAATTTTGTAAAACTTTTATTATTTTATATAGGGTTTGGAACAAAAAATACTTTAAATTTTTTATTTATGATTGCCTAGTTTTTAATCAGTCATTAATTAAATTAAATCCAACACTTGTGATAAAGGGTAATTTTATGCTCTACTCCTGATATCTCCAAAGTATAAAAGCTAAGAAGTCTAACATTTGTCCCTGATATAGGTAACATGGACTTTAAATGGGAAAACCCTGTTGTTTTGATCGATTTGACAATGGAACTCTTAATAGTTTTTAAATAACTAATTAATTAAAATTCCGAGCTAAATGTTACCTAAAGCACACATTTATATTTATGGCTCAAATTTAAACATTTAAAAATCAAAGGTCGCCTGTTAAACCAAACACTACTAACCCTCCTACCTCTAGCGCTAACAAATCCAAGGATGTTGATAAAGATGATAAAATCAAATCAGGTGATACGATTGAAAAGTCTACGAGCGCAGCGAGATTATCCACTGACAAGATTAAGTCGATTGCTCCTCAGGTAAAGATAGGGCCGGATGGAGATATAATTCTTGATACAGACAGGTTACAAATTTATATATATTTTTTGGACACAATTATAAGGGGTAAGTTTAGAGGAGGTATCCACGCTCTTGACAATCCATCTCGGGTATTATAATAATTTGTGGCCTTGAATCGAACCGAGCATGCACGGGTTATCTTTTGATGGAATTTTAAATTTACAATTCTTTTTATATTTGTTACTGGCAACGTTTAGCCTCTACATTCCAAATCCGGAGCAGAACGAAGAGACGTTTACTAAGCCAGCTATCCAGGAAGAATACGATCCATTTGGCTATCTTAAATATTCTAAAAAACATACTCATCATAAAATATGGACTTCTGAAGGTTTCCCCAACTAACCTTTATCTTTTTTTTTCTTCACATTTTATTTTAATTATCAATATTAGTATCATTTCTTATTTGAATTGTGGAAATTAAATTATATACTTATGCCATGCAAAATAAACTTTTGTCCTAAAAATAAATTTCCCCTATTTATATATATTTCCTTTTCCTTCAATCTTATATTAGGAGTCAAACACTCGTTATATTTTGAGAAAAATGTAAAGAAATAAATGTTTATTACTATATTATATACATAAATATTTATATTTATTGTCAACAGAAAACGTAAAATTTTTCAAAGCCCTAAGTGTTCACGGTATAAATTTGGCAGGCATAGCGAGCGAATTTCATAATAGGGAGAGATCCGAAATCAAGAACAAATTTAAACGGGAAGAAAAATTGAATCCAAATATGATCGATATAGCTTTAGAACAACAGTAATATTGATATGTATATATAATACTATTAAATCATATCACACGCTATAAAACCGGCTTGAATACATTTTAATATATGCCGGATTTATTCGAACCGGCCCTGAGTTATTGTCCTAACCCTAAATGGTTTTAATAATTATCATTAGCATTTTGAAATAATTTAAGAATCCAGCCCTAAAGTGATTATATTAAATGATAAAAATGAATATGCAATTTGTACATCGATTATATTGTAATTGATTACTTTTTGTTGATTTATTTTGTAAATTTCCTTAAGTTAGGGGGGGGGGGTAGATCAATATTATCTTGAAAATATAAAAACAATTCAAAAAAATAAACAAATTTTTAAATATTTAATTGGCTTATCTTTTACCGATTTAGATTTTAATTAATGATCTATAAATATAATAATGAGACTCTTTTTTTTATATATTTATACCTTTCTTCAGTCGATTAAATTTCACATTTTATAACAATTTTTCTATAATGTTATTTATATATTATTATCATAGTTCGAAAAAAAATCAAACTTTTTTTGAGCAAAAATCTTAAAATTTGTGATTTCATTTTGTAACATTTTTTTATGCATCAAAATTACAAAATGTTTACTTTTATAAAAGATTTAAAAAAAAATTTTTTTTTTAGCATTTTTGAGGTAAAATTTGATAAAAAACTTTTCTTTAAAAAATAATATTATTTAAAGATTTTATTTTTCAAATTCTGATTATTTACATTACCAATTTCAACGAAGCCCAAAATTAGAAGATTTCCTTAAATTGCTTTTCCCGCCTAAACCGTCTCTCGTGCCGACAAAGAGTAACGAAAAATTGACCTCTCTGATCGCTCAAAACTTTTTCAAGAAAGTCAAAATTTGTTTGAAAAATCTACCTGTTGATGATACTAAAACTAAAAGTTTATAAAAAAAAAATTTTCGCATAAAAACCCATAGGCGATCCTTATGACGGTGTCCTAAATATGGTTTAAAAATTCGCAAAAATAAGGAAACTTTCAGAAGTTTTTAAATTTTAATCAAATCGTATGTTAAAATTTTAATTGTATGAAAATTACGAAATTTTTCGAATTTAATTTTTTATATTTAGGACACAGCCTATAGTATTTTATATATTTTTTACCCCCGGGTTGTTTTTCTTTATAAAACAATATTATTGTAATTATTTTTAACGCTAATTGCTAACTTGATAAACAATGACTATAATTTGATTGGGTGATAATTTTTTTTAAATGGATAAAATCTCGGCTTTTTTCAACATTTTTGCAGAAAACAAATATGATATTAAATTCGAAATTCCCCTTAGTGAAATCATACTGATATATTTTTTTTAAAAAAACCTGGAATGATCTGAATTAAACCAGTGCTCTATAAACCCTCCTGAATTAATGACGCTCTCCCCCTTCCTGTAATACCATTCGTAACTCTATATTAGAGGGCCGTGGATTAAACTATTATCTATTTATATGGTACAGACATAAAGACAGACGTTCGTGATTCACCGAAACACATCTAGCTATTTAAAAAAAAAATTAAACCTATATGCATTTTACAGAGCGTAATTTTTTTTAAAATAATTTAGTTTTAGCGAAGTATCCTGTTCTAATCGTTACTTTGTAGGTTAAATAAATTATCTTTTTTAAATTCAAACTAACCTTTTAAAAAATTTTTTTTATCCTCATCCATTTATATTTATTCTTTCTTTTGGTTAAAGCTAAAGAATCTATACCAGATGATGTATCAGTTGCTTCGGATTCGAGCGTGTTTATAGAAAATGACGAAGACGATCTAGCGAAGTTACTAATCTAAATTTCTCTCTCACTCACGGCTGAGTATTATAGTGTTCTATATTCATTTTTTCGAAATTTTTTGTAGGAGAGCATTTTCTAAAAAAAAGATACTTCTTCTATTTTAGTTTAGAGAAGTCAAAATAAAGGATTAGTCTAAATTATATTTTAACATTTTTTTATTGGTGATATGGAAGAATGCAGTACTGAAAGGATTTATTTATCGAAAAAAATGCATTTTGCAAAAAATTGGACATAGAACATTATAATGCTGAGCGGTCGAATTATATTTCTAAATATTATGGGATTATTAAAAATGAAAGTGGGGAATGTTTTGTTTAATGAATATAATTAAAGCTAGTGCTCGGGAATCTATTATTTTTTGAATGTCCATTAACAATGGACGAGATAAAAATAAAACACACAAATTAAATAAAACTTATCTTCAATGCTGGTTCGATTTCCTAAGCATTCACTCATCGTTGATATGTACCTTTTTCAAAAGATTTTTTTAATGTTTTCTATATAAAATTTATCCTTATTTCTAAATTCTAACTGTTTTTTAAAATTAAATCATTCACAAAATTATTTTTGAAATTCAAAAGGTGTTTGATTTTTATAATTATAAATAAATATTGCATCATGTTTTTATGCTAAGAAAATATTATACTTTGATCCAATCTTTAAATTACAAACTATGTATATTCAAATGCATTTATCAACCTTGTTGCTTTAGAAAGTAGGAAGGAAGAAAGAAATAAGGAAAGCATGAGTAAAGGTAACCAATAATATTTGAAACATCGTAATTTCACAAATAAATAAATAATAGTGAAACAGAATTTGAGAACTTGTTTAAACCAACGAAATCAGGTCGTACGCCCAAACCTTCTTACAAATTTATCACGCAACCGGCGAAACCCAATAAAATTGACCCCAAGACTCGAAACAATGCCAGAGTCCGCAAAATTAAAGAAATAGAAGTTAATAAAACTACTCCCAAGAAGACAAAATTATCAACGAAAAGGAAGAAAGATGGGAGAAAGTATTTATTTATAAACTCATTAATAATTATAATTGATATTTTGGAAAAATATATAACAATTTTTTATTTTAAAATATTGTAGGCTTTTTGGGATCAAGTTATTAGATTTGCGAATAGCTATTGATATGGTGTCTTTAAAATAAAAACATTTGGTGGGATATCCTTATTTTTGATCTGATGATATATATGAAATTGAAATAGTTTTTTTTTTAAAAAAAAATTCGCTTTATACATGGTGTCTGGATGGAATTTACTAGCTTCGAAAGCTTTATACTTTGCCGTATTTGTTGTATAATGCTTTTCGGTATTTTCCCATCTTCCCTATTGACCTCTACGGATTCTAGCGTAAATGTGAAACTAAATTGAATGAGTATCTTGCCTCTTGACATTGAAATATTTTATGCCTAATGATTCTTCCCTTTTCATTTGAATTTGCAATGACAAATATGATGACTACTGGAATTTATAGTTGCCTCTGTCAGATATTCGGATATTGAGTTTGAATAATAATTATTGAAAAAGTGTAAAGTAGTGTTTTTAATCGGCTTGATTTTTAAAAATGGTTAACCCGATATTTTAGCCAAAAATATTACGCAAGCCTTGTTTGCTCATAGGTGGCAGAAAGTTTAGGACATCTATTAACGAATTCTAGAAGCTTGCATATTTTGGTTAAAATATTGGATAAGCCGTTTTTAAAATTCTAGCCGTTTAACAACACTAGTATAAAGCCATATACATTACTCAAAAAGGTACCTGTATTACATTTGCATTATCCTGTGAATAGTAACTAACGTTTTATTTACTAAAGCCCCAAAGCAAAAATACATTGCATAAAAAAATATTTCCTCTCGATAATCGATATATATTTATTAACTTAAAAAAATAAAGAAATAATTGCACTTAAAAAAAGGTTATTGAAAGACGGGATCTCCTAATGTAAAGGTCAAAATGATAATGTAAGTTCATCCTACCCCGACCTCTTTAATTGATTTTAGGTATGTATTTGTGATTGCATTTCTGGAAATGTTGATTGATTATTGTTGCTTTACACAAAAAAGTTATTATTTTGAATCCTTTTATATGAGATCCCTTTTCTAAAAAAGATATTTGAAAATCTTTATGTGTTTAAAGCTTGGGTTTTTTGGTTTGGATAAAGATTGCACTCAACAATGCTAAGAGTTGATTTCGTATATCTTTTTGAACTCAAAAATATTTGTCATATTCAGGCCAAAATAATGATGATGGTAATGTTTTTGTGGTTTTCATGTAGATTAAATGACGCATATTAGGCGAAGTGCAAACCACAAAATGGCGCTACAGCTGACTCTTATGTATGGGCACTTTTAACGCCAATCTTGTAGTATATATTTCTACATCATTGGTTCAGGGTCCCCTTAAAACAAGATAATTTAAAATTTAGTCGAGGTTGGATCCAATCTCAATATAAATTTTTAAAATCAAGTTCTGATTAATATAATATGATTTTTAAAAAAATATTATATATATTATTAAATATAATTTATAAAATAATGATTCAAAATATGTTTAGCAATGCGATTAAAATTCTGAGCTCATTTACCGGCGAGAAAAGTAATGAAGCCTTTATACCACCGTTCCTATTAAATTCTGCCAATCTTGAGGAGGAAATCCAAGAAGGCCTATTTGATTCTCGCGTGTACGTATTTCTAAAAATTATTAACCCTCTAAATTTTAAACTGGTGCAATAGTCTATTAGAACACTGGGGGGTTATAGGGGCTCAATTATTTGTATTTACTATAGCTACACCGATACACAATTTTTTCACTTATTCGAACCGATATTTATTTTAAACAGCACCTATCCGATACCGATATACTTTTTGTCATCATTTATTATAATTTAAGATAATGGAATAATAAATATCTATAAATTTATTTGAAAGCGTTTTAATCAGGACAAAAAAGTATCAAAACTTTAAAATTCTAAAAATATGTCATCTTTAAATTTGTAGAAAGGCTTTTATTTATAAGATATATAGTAAATAATGTCTTATTTTGTTAAGTTTGGGGTCCTTAGAGAAGAATTACACATATAGTTCCATATTATAACATTTATATATTATTAGTGACGCCTTCCTTCCCAATTTTTTTTATAGGAGTTATGAAGATTTATTATGGGAATTAGTTTTAAAATAAATTTAAAAAAATGTCAATAAAAAGTATATAAATTAGGTATTGGTTAAATTTTTAAAAAATATCGGCGATTCGATATTTTTTTTAAATGTCTAATATCGGTATTTAACATCAAAACAGTCCTAGTATTACTATAGATTCATTATTATTAATCGAATCAAAATTATAAGCTAAATATATGCAAAAAAAGAACCAATCCATGACTTAATCATTATTTCATAGATTTATCACATTTTTTTAATATGACAGATCTTCCCCTGCCTACACCAACGAATACAATGAATGTTGCGTCGAAGAAACGATTGTTTGTAACGATATAGACCAAAACCAATCGGCGGCATCCGTCATTTTGCTCGATCAAAATAATTTGGAGTCTATTTCCCCGTCGCAAACGCAAAACCTTAAATTTGATCTTGAAAATTCTGATTCCAAAGGGAACGATATATTTGTTTTGCCTCAACAATATCTCATCAAAGATCAAGTTATTTTTAAAGAAAATTATATATTAGTATATTATAGAATTATACCAAATTCTTTAAAAGCTCGGATCCGGATCCCTCTTTTGATCTGGCTGTTTTTTCAAATAGCTGGATATTAGCTGGTTCTTTTTTCCAATATATTATCGCATTTTTTTAGGTTTTCTTTTTTATTAATTGAAATCTTCTCATAGTCATGGAAAATAGGGGCAGGACAAGTCTATATTATTTTTGTTGGGGAGGTTTCTTTCTTCAATATTATCAATTAATTAATTTTTTTAAGTAAAGAAAGCAGTTTTTATATCTTTATTTTTTAGGGCTTGCTCAATTCAATAATATTTTAAGAATGCTAAGTACTAATCACTTAGCCTTAATTAATTTTATTTTTTTTTAAAAAAAAATCCTATTTATGGTAAGCTATATTTAAGAAATAAATAATTTAATAACCAGCCTCCCCCTCCCCCATATCGTCAATTTTAAAATTATACAATTAATGCATATAAAAATTGAAACAATTATTAGATATTAACAAATAGACATCACAACATTTGGTTGTGGCCTCTGTCATAATATTTTTGCATTTGGGTATCTTGCACTTCATCTTTTTTTCTACTGAAGGTAGGCCAATGAGGGGAAGCTCGTTTAATTTCCTTCTCTATAATTTGGGTAATGTTTCCTTTTTTCTTTATATCTACTTTCGACGAAAAAGTCTTATTTTTCGAAGAAATACTTTTTCTTCTCTTGCACAAAACCTTAGTTAATGAAAGCAAATCTAATAATTTTTAGCCTGGCAAGAAATTCGAGGTATTTATAATCCCTTCGATAGATGAGACACGTGTTTATTTGAAAGCGTATCAATTATAGGAAATAATTTCCTATAATACCATTTTTTTTAAATCTTAAATGTATTCTATAAAGAACAAATAGGGAATTAATCAACTCAACGTCACCCATTGATTTATTATTTGCTTTCATGACATTTAACTTTAATATATCTTGCATTTCATACAATTCTTTTTATGCTCCCCAATGGAGAGACTTCAACAAACTAACTAAAAGATAGACTGCCTACCCGATTGTCATACCATTTTATAGCTCGTAACTTGAGGTAAAACTCGCCTCTTCTCTTTTTTTCGTTAATTTTTATCACTAATAAAACTACAACTTTTTAGTTGGTTTGCTCTAACCCTAGTAAGACTTGAAATTCTCGCTTTGCTAGTTTGTTAATTATTGCTTTGGATTGCAAAATCAACTATCAAAAAATTTTATAATTCATATTTTTTGGAATATGTTGAATTAGGCACAACACTCGAAAACCCTAACATACATTTAAATAATAATAGTACATGATTCCACATGGTCAAGAATGTCATGACCACTTAAAAATCAGGCTTATATTATAGATTTTGCCCAATAGATTGAAAGAGTTTGAAATGTCATAAAATTTATGTATAGATAAACAAATAATGTTCAAGGGAAAAAGTAGTAAAATCAAAAAACAAAATTGGGGTTTAAAATGTTCTTATTATACAGTAGTGATAAAATAGTTTTAATTTTGAACATCCAACCGAAAAATTTAATAAGTGCCGGATCTTGGATTGTAGCAATTCAGTGTTGAGCCTAATTCAATATTCAGCAATAAACGTTTTTGATAATTGGTTTTGCAGTCCAAGTCGACAATTAATGCTAGTACAGTTAGGATTCCATTTTATATAGCAAACCGTAAAAAGATTTACAGAAAAAAAAAGAAAAATGCGTTGGAAGAGAATATTATCTAATAACATCAAGTTACGGGCTAGAAGATGATGACAACCGGACAGTGTACCTGTTAATTGGGTTATTGTAGCCTCTCGCTTGGGGTACATTGAAAGATTTGGTAGGAAAACTAAGATTATTTAATAAATTAATGGCTAATGTAGGGATTAAAGAATTACTCTATAGAATCCATTTGCGATGGAAGTACTGGTAGAAGGATACTATCCACATAATTGATATGCTCTTTTAATAAACGGGTGGCTCCTCTATCAAGATTATAAATCCCCAGGTCTTCTCGCCAGATAAAATAAATTATTAAATTTTAATCTCTCAGTAGCTAACATTTTATGCAAGAGAGTAAAGGGAACTTCTTCAATAAGGCGGAAACATCATTCAAATTCTAGGGCAGGAAATTAGGCAAGATCAAATTGTTCATTGGCCTACCATCATTGAAAAAAGGGGGCTAGAAAAATATTAGAAAAATGATGGACCCATTATCTAATAATGGTTTCAAAAATTTTAATACATATTGATCGTATACACAAAATATAATATTAGTTTGTAAAGGAAATAAATTTTTATAATCTAAATTGCCCAATGTGATTTAAAATTAACAATCAGGAAAAAAATTGTTAAATTATTTATTATTAATATAACTAATCATATAAGATTAAATTTAAAATTAAATTAAATGTTGATAAATATTAAATATATATATATATAATTTTAGGATTTAATGCTTCTCTTATTTATTATAAAGGTTTACCAGTTATTCTTAGTTCCTCAGCCTTCACAAATCCCTTCCTGACGAAATGATTTTTTTACTAACACAATTATTGTACTGCCTATGAATCTTAATTTATTAATATTATCAAATTGGAAAGCATAATGATTATATATATATTATTTTTTTTATACTAGCTAAATTTTTTATAATAAATTTATAAATGTATTTTAAGAATAAATTATATTGAATAAAATTATCTACGCCCATAAATATAATTCTGAATTGTTAATTATTATATCACCCATAATAGTTTTGGTTTATATCTTGTAAAAAAAGGATTATTTTTTATAACCCCACCTCTCCTTTATCAATTAATAAAAATAAAGGGGCCCATCATTTACAAATTAAATTGTTGTAAAGGTGTTTCTACCTTACTAAAATATTAATATCGAATCAAGGGCCCACTTGAAATTTTTGAATTGCCGTTGAAGACTTATTACTCAAAAAAATGTATGTTAGTTTTCATTTTTACTCTTATCGAGATATAGAGCTTTTACTCTCATGCCCCCTCCCCCGCTTTCCCATACAGTGATAATTAATTTTATAGCACTGAAAAAATAACTTAAAGAAACACTTAAGCGAAATGTACTTAAAAACAATAAATAGGAAGGAACAATTTTTGAGCGATTTCGTATATCTTCTAAATTCAATAAAAAAATTCTGAAAAGATTTTTAAAGATATCTGTGAAATCCATTAAAAATTATTAGCTTTAAGAAATTTTCATAAGGGAAAATATTCTGAGCGCTTCAGTTTTTATTCAGAACGAAATTATATAAGTTATATATTCTATTGATAGTGCGGATTGAACACTTATGTATATATTTTTTTTATATAATTTCTAATATTAAAAATATAATCTTATTTGTTTTTTTTAAAAATATATTTTTAATTTGATATTGTTCATATTTTGTATTTAATTTTAAATTGAAACCGCTTTTTAAAGATAAAAAATTTGTTACCATAAAAAAATATTATACTAATTCTAAACAATTAAAATTTGCATACCATAAGAAAAATCCTTCAAATATAATGATAATCGAGCAATTTATATTTTGCTAACAAAGCAACAGGCAATTTTAATCGAAATTGTCTTCAATCACGACTTTATCAATATTCAATAATCAACTAACAAAAAATTTTGAATGTAAAAAGGTTATTTTTTAGAACTTAATTAAATTTAAAAAAACTCATTATTTACAAATTACTATATTTTTAGCTGGTTATACCTCATTTTTAACCAAAAACTATTACTTTGGCCTCGCCTGGGGGTTTTTCTTAAAAGCATAGCAGCTTAAATTTGAAAGAGGCTAATATAAATTAAAACTCCTTGATGTTAAACGATTTCCTCAGGCACATGCCTGTAGAATAATTAGCCGACATTTCGATATTAACAATTTAGCATGAATATGAGTTAGCTCGTAGAATGTCTAACCTAACTTTTAAATTACATTTAAAAATAGCAGGAAATTATCCTGAAATAAGTTTAATTTGAAAATTAGTGACTCGGTATAAAATATCAGTCCATATTTATAATCTATTTAATTATGAATTATAGCAAAATATTATAGAGATCTGCAAGCCCGGCCCGAACGGGCTTAGGGCTAAATATTTTTTAAGAAAATTTGGGTCAGGTCGGGTCTTAGAAATTTTTTAAAATATATCTAAATTTATCAATTTTAAGTCAAATTTTTTATCTAAAATAAAAATATGTGATTTTATTTATAGAAAGTAGACGCCAAATAACATATATCGTTTATTTTGAGTAATTATAAAAATTAATTTCTATACTTGAAAAATTAGGCCCGATACAGATCACTAATATATTATCCATAGATCATTCTTCAAAAATATAGATAACACTAAATAATTATACCCTACCCCCTCCCCTCAAAATCAATGCCTACCCACAACCCTCCTTTAAAATATTTGGATGCAAATTGGTCTATAATTTTGTTTAGTAAGGATCTCCCTGATATAAATAAATGCTTGAGGAACATCAGAAAAGTATGATTTGTCTCCTTCCTCTGTGTAGAACTATTATAAAATTGTATAGATATGCAAGATCATTTTTAAAAAAACTTCATTATTATAAAGAATATTTCCGCAAAATATTTTTATTTATTAATAGACCATTAATATCAAAACTATACTGCCCAAAGAATTGGATGGGCAAGGCAACTTTACGGAAGCATTCTTATTTTTATCTTAAAATCCTTGTTTTTCCTTAAATGTGTAAATGAATGTTGAAATTTACATATTTTAAAATAATTTGGGCTTCTACTACTAAATTTTAAAGCGAACATATTTTATTTGTTAGTAGATCCTAAGCAAATTGAATCCATGAGATGCAAAGCCATTGCAATCGATAATTGGATATTTATTTTTCACAAGTGTCCAGGTTTTCTTCATTAATTGTAATATCTATTATGATGTAAATTTTTGGGTTTCCTATTTAAAAGCATGTGTCCTTTTATAAATTAATTTACAGAAAATGATTGCTATAATAAAATTAATACATTATCTATATATATAATCCTCAAAAAATGTCAATCAAATTTAGCCAATAGTTTTCTTTTAAATATTATTTGTCCAATCAAAATGATTATAGCAGTCACAGTCACAACTGTGACTTTATATAGTCAATTATTTTACCTGATAATAGTCAATTATAATTTTGTTAATATATTATGTAATATTCAACTTCTTTATTAATTATTGGACGTTTGTCCTACTTAAATAGGGAGTGATTCTTAATAATATTTAATTAATATTAACAAATTCGGAAGTATTTAATTTATGTTAAATTGTAGTTTTAATCTCCATGATATTTAGCGCCATCTATAATATTATATTTTATTTTAAATAGCATTATATTTCTAAGTTGAAATGTAAATATTTTGTCTTAATTGATGTCAAATATATTGTTCTTTCTATATATCTATAATTTATCTATCTATCTATCATAGCAATTTTAAGCCAATTTAGATCATATTAGCAAAATGGATTTAATCTCCTATAAATCATGGAAAGCATTTCAGAAGTATTTTGAGGCAATAGACAGGAAGGAACATTAGTATGAAAAAAATGTTTGCAGATAATCCTACAAGAGCTAAGGAATTCAAATCTATAATATATATATTCAATAAAAATCATCATAGCTTAAACATATCAAACACGCATTCATAAACCAAATCGAACCGCCATTTTCAAAAAAAGAATTTCAATACAAAAAACAATTACAAAACATATAATAATATAATAATTACAATAATTGATATTTTTTTTAACAGACACAACATCGAGCAAAACCTTCAATCATCAGTAAATAATTATATTTTTTAACAGACACCACATCGAGCAAAACCATATACTTTCAATTTACACATCTTAATCTTGAAGATACTGAAAATCAAGAACAAGTTGAACATTACTGTGGGCCATTAAAATCTATTTTATTATTTTTTTTAGATTCCTACACAAGATACCATTCAACAAAACCAAACAATGGAACGTTTCATACTACCAAAATCTAAAGAAGGCATTATTGCTTCAACAAGAGTAAATTTTATATTTTTTTTAATTTGTATTGTATGTTAGCTGATCAGATTTTTCCTATCTTATAAGATGTGATTCCGAAATATATATTTATTAGGTGAGGGGCTATTCTAATATTTTCCATTATTTTTTATAATTATGTTTATGAAGTATATATTTAGTAATTTTATTTTATGTCCACAATAATAAATATTTTAAACTAAACTTATTTTTATAAAATTGAGTAATTCTTATATTTTTAAATTTTAATAATAAATCAACATAAGGAGAAAGCTAGAAAGAGACAGGCACTTTGTCGTATCAAGAAAAGGAACGAGCAAAGTCTTATTCCTACAACATCCAACCATCTTGAAGATACTGGAAATAAACAATTTGCTTCAACATCCAATCATCTTGAAGATACTGAAAATCAAAAACAAGTTGAACATTACTGTGGGCCATTAAAATCTATTTTATTATTTTTTTTAGATTCCTACACAAGATACCTTTGGTGCAATATCTAAGTATAATTTTTTCAGTGATCCTATATCAATAAAAACAAATCAAGTTAAAAATTTTAATTTATGACAATAAATAAATTTATTTAAATTAGATTCCACGGATCATATTGCCGAAATGTGCCATTCAACGGACTCTTAATCTACCCAAATCAATAAAAACAAACGAAGTTAAAAAATTTAATTTATGTTATCAAATAGATTTTTTTAAAATTAGATTCCACGATATATATTACCGAAATGTACCATTCAGCAGAATCTTAATCTACCAAAATCAATCAAAATAAACCAAGTTAAAAATTTTAATTTATGTTAACAAATAAATTTATTTAAATTAGATTCTACGAATCATATTACCGAAATGTACCATTCAACAGAATCTTAATCTACCCAAATCAATAGAAACAAACGAAGTTAAAAATTTTAATTTATGTTAACAAATAAATTTTTTTAAATTAGACACTACCAAAATCTACTATTCACCAAAATCTTAATCTACCCAAATCAATAAAAACAAACCAAGTTAAAAATTTTAATTTATGTATAACAAATATTTTAATAAATATAAATTTCTGAATCACATCTCATAAGATAGATAAGAAAATTTTTGATTTATCCATCATCAGGGGCTATTCAAAATTTATTATTTATTTATGAAGTATATGGTTATTAATTTTAATTTATGTCCACAATAAAAAATATATTTCATCAACTAATAAAAAAGAAAATTCTTATTTCACTATCATCTTGACGGGCAAAATATAAGATAAAATAAGTATGTGCTACATAATCGTAATTACCCATGGAATATTTTAGAAAAAATTATTATAAGCCTGGCATATGTTTACATCAGAGCCGGTGTATTGATTGTGAAATCAATACCCATTGTAACTTCAATACCGTATTGATATCATTATAGATTCAATACCGTAGTGATATATTGCTATTGTAGAATCAATACCGTATAGATTTTTAAGATGTTTGCATCGCTTCAAATATATTGGCGACCATTAAAATTATAAAATATTTATTTATTATATATTTTTTCATCGCTTTATAAATATT